CTGACTTCCTACTGCTTCCCCTCTCACGCTAGGGGCCCCGTTAGTGGGTGCTGGTCTTAGGGACCAGGCACGAAGGCCCCTCTTATCCCTCGGGCACGTGCTTGGCCTCCACTGAGCATGCCAGCCCGTAGGGCCACGCGGTCCTACAGGATGTGATGTTCAGATCCACTGGAAAGTAGCATCTTGTTTCAGCTTCCTTGTGTTTTCAGCCAGTCGATCAGCCTTAGATTGCCTTTTTCTCCCCTTAGAGCATTTTTATTCAGTGGTTTAGGTTCTTCCAGGTCAGCCGGGAGCAGTGTTGTGATGGAGGGTCTAGGCCCTGAGCTGCAGCACCATCAGTGCCCAGCTCCAGAGCTGCGCGCGGGTGGGCCGTGTGCGCCTTGGGCAGCCCCGGGGGCAAGGGGCGGAGTGTGGGCCTCCTGGCCTGGGCAGAGCCCCTGGGAGCCCAGAAAGGGGCAGAACGGATGTGTGCAGCCTCCCTGCCAGGTTGTCCTCCCCCCACAGGGTCCCCACTCCCTCCTGTGCCACCACATCACTTTCCAACTTGAAGCACCCCATTAGTTCTGATCTCAGGAAGCAGGGAGGGCGATCCCTTAACCACCCCCGGTGTCCACACCACCGGGCTCTCCTGCGAGCAGCCTGAGGGTGCCTCCACCTCCGCACCGATGATGCTTTGGGCTGATCATTCTCTGTCATGGGCTGTCCTGTGGTTTTTGGATGTTTAACGGCATCCCTGGCCTCCACCCACCAGGAGCCCCTTCCCCCAGCTGTGACAACCAGATGTCTCAAGATATTACACGTGTCCCCTGGGGGCACAGTTGCGCAGTTGAGAACCTCTGGGCTGCCTGCTCTGCAGCATCTTCTCTGCCCAATCACCAGGTGATTCTCCCAGCGTGCCCCACCACAGAGACCGCAGGAGCTTCCGCCTTGCTCAGGGTGGACGCTCGGGTCCTTCCCTGGTACTTTCTCTCAGGCCCGAGACACCTGGCCTTGCCTCCTGCTCACTGTGGCTGTCACAGCCTCTGCTGGTCATTGAACACTCCAGGCACATGCCACTGGGTCTTGGGGACAGCTTTCTTGTCTGCTTGGCAAGGTCCTTCCTTTAATACACTCAGATCTCTGGTCACATGTCACCTTGGAATGGCCTTTCTTGATCACCCACTTAAAATAACTCACTCGTGCTCACCTCCCGCTTCCAGTCACTCCCGCATACATCACCCAGTAGTGCCTTGATTTTCTGTGTGGCACATGGCACCGCCTGATCTGTGTGTGTGTGTGAGTGTGCCCATGCACACACGCAAGTAACTATCTGTTCCTGTGCTTCACTGACCGGAAGCTGAGTCAGAGCAGGACCTGTCTCAGCAGTGCCTGTTCTCCTTGAAGGCTGGCTCCCCCACCTGCAAAGGTGCAAGAATGCCCCGCCCCCCACGGGGAGCAGGTATGTTGGTTGCTACTCCTGTTTCCAGAGGAGGCGATGGAAGCACAGGACGTGTGTTCTTGGATTCCACCAGGCACATCCCTCAGACACGTCCCAAAAGTGTCTAAGCACAGGGAATTAATTATTCTTACAATAACCTATAATAAATATAATGTACCAAGAAAAAAACTCACAAAAACAAATCTCTGTGCCATACACTTGAAACTAACACAGGATTGCAAACCAGCTGTTGTTGCCTTTGTTCAGTGGCCAAGTTGTATCCGACCCTTTGCAACCCCATGGACTGCAGCACGCCAGGCTTCCCTGTCCCCCACCATCTCCTGGAGTTTGCCCAGCTTCATATTCATTGAATCGGTGCTGCCGTCCAGCCATCTCATCCTGTGTCACTGTCTTCTCCTCCTGCCCCTCAGTCTTTCCAAAGTAATGCATGTTCATTTTACAAGCCACCTGTAGCCCCTCTTCACTCAGACACTGGTCATTTTGGTGTGTTGTGTTGTCTTTTTTTTTTCTGTTAAGAAACCTCTGACAGCTACAACTCTCCTCCAGAAATGTTAAACCATAGTTGACCACCTCAGAGCTTGTTCAGAATTCTAGAGCTGATGATGATAAAAAAAGATCCACCCACCTTCCACCTCAGACCCCACCCTGGTGACTTTAAAAACTACATCAGAGTGCACCCAACAGAGAATGAGACTCTGTGTGTGCCTTAGTTTCCCTCTGAACCTGGCAGTTTCCTGGGGCGGGCGGAGCGCCCCCTGGTGTCGGCCCCGTGTCTGGCGCCTGTGGTCCGGGTACTGGATCTCTGGAGGGCGGGAGGAGCAGAGGGCACTCTGCTGAGAGAGACCAGGGGGCTTCTCCCACCCAGCGGCCTTGGTGGATGCTCGGGGGCCCTCATGACATCCGCCGTCTGAAACCGTGACAGCTGCCTGCCAAGTGCTCCAGAAATGAACAGAGCAGTTACTGCTTTTACAACAAGAACAAGGATTACTGTCTTGCAGAGTGCATGGAGCTACCAGAAATGCGTTCTGCTCCGTTCTTGTCTCTACAGCTCTGGGAAGGGAGGAGCTTTTTATGTGGTTAAGAGAATGGACTCGAGCTGGACTGCCTGAGTTCAAGTCCAGGCTGTACCACTTGGGAGCCGTGTGACCCTGCACGCATGGTTCATCAGCTCTTTGTCTCAGACTCCTCCTCTGTAAGGCCAGGATGGTATACTGATTCCACAGAGTTGTGGAGGATTTCTCCGGTTAAAACACTTGAACTGCTTGAAGACCGCGTGTGCATGGAGCGTGACACACACCAGGTGTGCTGTCGCTGTGAGGAGAGGCCTCCAGAGCAGGGGTTCCTTCCAGAGCCTGTGAGATGCCGGGCGCACGTGCCCGGGGCAGGGAGAGGCGAGCAGGACCAGGGGAGGCCCGGTCCGCGCCTGGTGTGGGGGCATGCGGGCGCCCAGGAGGTAACGCTGTGGAGCAGAGGGGAGAGCCTGGCGGCTCGTCCTGCCTCCCAGGCGTCCCGTGCTCTGCTTCTGGGAGCCCCAGGGGAGGGCACACAGACAGAATCGTGGCCCCGGCGCCCCGCTCTCCTCCCTGCCATCCCTGCCGCTCCCACTCAGCACGCACTGTGTCATTGTCATTGTCCTGCTGGATTAGAAGAGTCTGGAGACCCGGCTTCATGGTGGAAGGGAGGCAGGCTCTGGCAGGAGGCCGAGTGCAGGTCGGGAGAGCCCCACCCAGGACGTGTCGGCTCCCCAGGCCCCCCCCCCCCCCCCCGGGAACACTCTGTGACCCGCCTGCCCCACATCCTGTCAGTGCTTCCACAAGGGGAGGAAGGAGAAAGCCCCCCGCCCCCCCCCCCCCCGCCCTGACCGTGATGCCAGCTTTCACAAGCTCTGGCCTCAGCATCCCCTCCGCCCGCGGGGGCAGCGGGGCTGGGCCATGTCCCCGCCGGGACTGCACTGACTCGGGGTCTGCACCGAGCCACTCCCATCCTTTCCCCAGGGCGATCTCGGGGACTGACCCCAATGCACGGTGGGGCTGCTGTACCTCACAGCCAGACGCAGGATCGCCTCCTGCCCCTCACTCACAGCCCCTCTCCCAGAAGGCTTCCCCTCGCTGCAACTCCTGGTTTCCATGGCAACTTGGAAAGACCTGTAGTTGTGGTCTTTTGAAGTCTAAAATGGGAGCAGAGGTTTGAGATGGAGCGGGACAGCACTGAAAATACCATGTCCTACCTGGGGATTTGGACCCAGAGGGTTAGAGGACGGGATTGCTTGAATTAGAAAAACGGGCACCGTCATTCCAGTACTTTCTTGGCAGAGTTCCACGTGGCCCCTCGAAGCCTGCTGGGGTCTCGGATCCTGAGCTTGGGGTCGTCAGCCTGCACCTGGGGGCAGCGGAGGTGGGTGGAGTGATCTCAATGGGCCTCGACTGCGTGCTTCCTATGAGCCAGGCGCCCAGTGGCCGTCTGCTTTCACCGCCTTGTGAATCTTCTGAGCCCCGGGGGCTGCAGTGCCGTCTCCTCTCGGGTGAAGGTCTGCTGTGCCTAACCCGGGGCTCCCTCCCTGTGGGAGCATCTCGGTCGCCTGTCGGTGGCGGGCCCGTTGCTCCTGCTTTCCTTCTTTCATAAGTCACATTGCATGGATGCTGGGGTTTCGGTGACCTTGAGCCTGTCTCCCTTTTCAGTACCTCAGGCCGCCTCATGGCGGTCGCCTTTCCAGGCCCCCAGTTCTGCAGTGGCGAGAGTGACCCCGAGGGGTTCTTCAGCTGGGTGTCTGTGGGAATGGCTCCTCCCCGCTTCTCGTTTGGGGTCTTGGAGGTTCTGAGCTAGGGAGGTGGTCAGTCCCAGAGGGCCCCCCCTTCCCCAGGACACAGTGAAGAACCCCAGAGGAGCCGCCCCAGGCTTGGCGGGCCAGTGCAGAAGGTGGGCTGGCTCAGTGGAGAAGCGTCAGGCTGTTGTGGGGATCCTTGGCGGGGGTGGGGGACAGTCATGCAGGGGAGGGGTCAGCACTTGCTGTGGAGCCGGCTGGGCTCCAGAAGCCGCCATCCTGAGTTACTCAGCAGCCTGCAGTCCTCCGCAGGGCCGTCGATAGGAGCAGGCTGTAGCTGGCCGGGCAGGATAGCCCAGATTAGCAGGTGGTGTGGCTGATAGCTGCCTCGGGGTGCTCCCGGGCCCTGCATCACGCTCCTCCTCCAGCCCACCCTCCCCAGCACCCAGCAGCAGGGGCGCGGGGCAGGCAGAGGTGGAGAGAGGACTCCACTCACAGCAGAATGTTTTACTCTGGTTTAAGTGAGGCTTTCCGTGGTCTATCGCTTAGCCACCCTTTCCAGTGTGATCAGTTCCCTCCGGTGAGCCTGACAGTCGCCTTGGACCGGGGAGGCCGCTCCTGGTCTGTCCCTGATCGGAGTGCGGCCCTGTCCCCCGACCCGGGTGCCGGGGAGGGGCACGTGGGACTTGGGGTTTTGCACTTGGCTGCACGTAGTGAAGCGTTGCTGTACTGCGGAGCTGAGAGGAGACCGTACCCCATGTGACTGGACGCCGAGCTCTGTCTCTCTGCTCTCTGTTCCAGCTGAAGCTCGAGGACCGCTCCGTGGTGCCCCGCGATGTGGTCCGGCACATGCGCTCCACTGTGAGTCCCTGTCCCACCGGCGGGCGTGGCCTGGGGCAGCTCGGGGCGGGTCTGGGGGGCCCCCAGGGCGCCTGCGCGGGCCTGGATGCCTTCTCGCCCGCAGGACAGCCAGTGCGGCACCGTGATCGACGTGAACATCGACTGCGCTGTCAAGCTCATCGGCACCAACTGCATCGTCTACCCTGTCAACAGCAAGGACCTGCAGCACATCTGGGTGAGCCTCCCGCCGACCTCCCGTCGCAGGGCTCTGCTTTCCTCCAGGCCGAGCGGCCAAGCCCAGGGCTCGGCCTCTCCTTGCGGCCTGATGGTGCTTCTGACTTGAGGTCAGGTGGTGCTTTATGTCTCCAGCAGACATGGCTGGTTTCCTTTCTCTTCTAAGACTTTTTGTCGTTTTTGAAACAAATTTTTTTTTCCGATAGTTTATTTATGTTTTTAAGATTCCAAACTTACTGCAGGTTGTAGGTACCAGTGTCTCCTGCAGCGTCGGGATTCCTCAGCTGGTGACGTGGCGCCGCGTCAGCACCTGCGCGTGTCTGTCCTCCCTCTTGCCCACCCCTCTCTCCCTCCCTCTCTTTTTTCCTCTTTTCTGAAACTTTGTTTTTAACCTTTTTTTTGGCCACACCATGCAGCATGTGGGATCTTAGTTCCCTGACCAGGGATTGATCCCGTGCCTGCTACATTGGCTGTGTGTTAACAACTGGATGGCCAGGGAAGTCCCCGCTTTTCTGAAACATCTGAAAGCAAGCTACAAATATGATGCTGTATGCCCCCTAAGTACTAAGTGTGTATTTTCCCAAAACAGAAACACTCTCCTATTTAACCACCATTCAAACCCCCAGATTAGGACCTTAACCCATTACTGTCCATCCACAGACCCCACTCAGTTGTCCCAACAATCTCTGTTTTCCCCTGCTGACCTGGACTCCATCAGGAGCACACATTCAGTCGTCAGCTCTTTGATCTCCCCCAGGCTGGAGCGGTTCCCAGTCCTGCTTTGTCTCCCTGTCCCGGGTGACCCTGAGCATGGGGCCATCTACAGTGCCCATGACAGCCTCGGGCCCCGTGCTTTTGGCAGAACTGCCCCAGAAGTACTGCTCAGCTCTTCCCTGGCCCGGAGCATGCCTCGGCCGCAGTGTGGGGATGTTCTCTTTGCTCCCCAGTCGTGTTGAGCTCTGCTGAGCCGCCTCCCAACAAAGTCAGAATTCACCCCTTGGCCAGCGATCATATTGGTTTTGTGGGGAGATATTCCGGGATTGTGTCAATAAACTGGTGCTTCTCAACCCCCATCCACCAGCCTTAGCCTCCATTAAGAATTCCCACCTGACCCAGCCAGCGTTCTGATGGCTGCTAAATGCTGATTTCGCGACACCATCACTGCCTGGCTTTGTTATGAGTTTGGCATTCTACCATATGGAAGAGCTGTACTTTCTGTCCCATTTATTTCTGCATTTTTTGCATCAGATGCAGAGACTCCTGTTTTATTCATTGGTTGTAATCCATTACTTGTTTTGTTGCTTCAGTGATCCCACCCAGATTTGGCCAGTAGGAACCCCTTCAAGCTGGCACCTGTGCTCTTTCAACATGTCTCCACCATTTTTTTTTAAAACACTTCCTTACTTTCCATATCGTATTATTTCTGATCCAGCCTAGAATCAGCCGTTTGTTCCGAGAGCCCTAGTTTCTTTCAGAAGCCACGGTCTGGGTGCAAGCTGGGTGTGCTAATTGCTCCTGGGCCCCACTCAGGGCAGCACTAGGGAATCCACGTATGTGTATGTAGGTGGGTACGCGCACACGTCTAAATATGCCTGTGCCCATCCTGTGTACGTATTGAGATGTGTGAGTTCATCTTGACCCCTCTGACCCCAGTCCAGCTCCTCTCTCTTCCCCTGCCTGTGTTAGTGATTGCTATCCCCAGTAGGGAGAGACTTGGCTCTTGATGTCCTCCATATAGTTCTCTGTTTATTTAAATCACTTTACTGTGTAACCACCCACCCCAGCCCACTCCCACTCACTGTCCTGTGTCCTCGGAAGGCTGTCCAGCCTCTGCCGCTGTGGGGGCGAGCTGCTGGGGACTCTTGGGGGACACTTGCTGCAAAGTTACTAGGTCTGACCCATGCGGAGCCTTCCTGCCCTGTCTGTGGGGCCAAGAGGAACGGGGGTCCCGGACACCAGAGTCCTCCACCGTCTCACCACCTGTCTTCCTGGTCTGCAGCCCTTCATGTACGGGGACTACATCGCCTACGACTGCTGGCTGGGCAAGGTCTACGACCTGAAGAACCAGATCATCCTGAAACTGTCCAACGGCGCCAGGTACGGTCTCCCCACCACGCAGGAGCCCTCACGGGGCGGGGGCAGCCGGGCAAGGGGCCAGGGGTGTGTCCTAGGTCCCGCGAGGGCCGTGCCAGGGGCTGTGGGCCTCGAGTCTCAGGGCCCGACCCCGGGCTGGTCTCCTTGTCAGCCTGGCCGGATTCTCCGGCTCAGTTCCCGGTCTTCCCTCTACTCTGGCTTGGGGAGACCCTCATCGTCACGTAGGACCCGCAGGAGGGGCTGATGTTCTCCTTTAGGCACGTTAATGGGGTGAACGCTGAGATCTGCTGACTGGGTCCTATTTGTTTGAGAGAGTTCCTTATTCCAGCGCAGGGACTGAGGTGTGGGCGGAGGGTAAATTTCCCATTTTAAGGTCGGTGGAGGCACTGACGCCTCCGGATAAGTCCTGTAGACTCACTGACCAGCTCCTTACGGGGTCCTGGCCGCCTCGCCTGCCCTGAGACCCAGGCACCGGGTCCGGTGCCCACCAAACCCCCGCCCCCTCTTGTAGGTGCTCCATGAACACAGAGGACGGCGCCAAGCTCTACGACGTCTGCCCGCACGTCAGCGACTCTGTACGTTGGCTCCACCCCAGGAGCCTGGGGGTCGGTGGGGGCACACCTCCTGTTCCTCAGCCCTGGGCTCTGCCAGAGCGGGGCTCGGGCTTCTCGGCAGAGAGCCGGGGGCTGGCCCCGGACCGACTGCCATGCCTCGGCCAGGGCTTTCCTGGAAGGAGGGGTTGTGTATCAGAAGGTGTAAAAGCTTGGATGTTTGCAGGAAGCCGTAGAACTTCCTTTGCATTTTGTTAACTTTTTATTTCATCCTTTTAAAATCTCCCTTTTTCTTGGAGTGGACATTTTAGAGCAGTGGTACATGACAGTTTAAGTAATACTAGGAGAGTGTGTGTGATCAAGCAGGTGTGGGGACCCCCGCCCTTAGAGCTTTGTCCCCCCAGACCAGCAGCATTGTTGTGGCCCGAGGGCGTGTTAGAATGGGTCAGCCTTGCCTTTTAATGAGTAAGGCCCCTGGTGGTCTGTGTGCCTCTGAGGTCTGAGAGGTGCTGCTCTGCAGTCTGAGGAGGTGTGGAGCACAGAGGCCCGGGGTGGACAGGGGGTGCGGGTGTGGACAGGGCCCCCCCACCCCGAGGAGGCCGCACTCACAGGGACCCCCCTCCGGCCCCCAACCCTGCAGGGTCTCTTCTTCGATGATTCCTATGGCTTCTACCCGGGCCAGGTGCTCATTGGCCCTGCCAAGATCTTCTCCAGTGTCCAGTGGCTGTCAGGCGTCAAGCCGGTGCTCAGCGCCAAGAGCAAGTTCCGTGTGGTGGTCGAAGAGGTAGGGAGAAGGCGGGGCGGGGAGTGAGGACGGGGGAGTCCGGGCTGAACGAAGTGGGGGGTGGCCAGTGGCAGGTCCGCTGGGCCCTTCTGGAGGGGAGGAGGCCTCCGTGACCTCTGGGAGGGTCTGAACTACAGTGAACTGCTCTGGAGAAGAGCTGCAGAAAGCGAGGGGCGTTAGAGTCAGCTGACTGGGGCCCTGCCCGCCCCCCTTCCCAGGTGCAGGTTGTAGAGCTGAAGGTCACCTGGATTACCAAGAGCTTCTGTCCAGGGGGCACGGACAGCGTCAGCCCCCCGCCCTCTGTCATCACCCAGGAAAACCTAGGCAGGTGAGCGGCCCCAGCTCGCCCCCTGCCCCAGCACCCTCAGGGGTGGTCCCCAAGCAAGTCTCTGGGCCAGCGTCACAGATGCCAAGGGGAGGGGTTGCCAAGGACCCCCTCACCCAGCGCCTGCCTCTCCCATCTCCCCTGTCCTCTCCCAGGGTGAAGCGTCTCGGATGCTTTGACCATGCTCAGCGGCAGCTTGGGGAGCGCTGTCTGTATGTCTTCCCAGCCAAGGTAGAGCCGGCCAAGATTGCCTGTGAATGTCCAGAAAAACACTGCGCCCAGGGGGAGGGCTCTATGGCCAAGAAGGTATGTCCTCGGGGTTGGGGCTTGGCGGGCGTTGGAGGAACTGGCCTTGAGCCATTTCCACAGCAGGAAGGTCTGTGCTTTAGGCCTTGGGGGGCAGCCCTGACCACCCTTGCAGGCCAGTTAGGTGTGAACAGACGTCACCCCTCAACTGAGCTGTCCAGGGTCAGCTCTCCATGGCGCCCGCCCTCCCGCTCTGCCGGCAGGTGAAGCGCCTCCTGAAGAAGCAGCTTGTGAGGATCACGTCTTGCTCCCCGGACGTCCAGTGCTCCAGGGACCATTCCGTGGAGGATGCAGGCAAGAAGGGGGCGGCCAAAGCCAAGAGCGAAACAGGCTCCGCCAGCCCCGAGGAGACGCCCGATGGGTCCTCCAGCCCAGTGGAGATGCAGGACGAGGGCCCAGAGGAGGCCCACGAGGCAGGCGAGCAGCTGCCCCCCTTCCTGCTGAAGGAGGGCGGGGACGACAGGCTGCACTCAGCCGAGCAGGACGCCGACGACGAGGCTGCAGACGACACAGACGACACCAGCTCGGTGACCTCCTCCGCCAGCTCCACCACCTCCTCCCAGAGCGGCAGCGGCACGAGTCGCAAGAAGAGCATCCCCTTGTCAATCAAGAACTTAAAGCGGAAACACAAGAGGAAGAAGAATAAAATCACACGCGACTTCAAGCCAGGGGACAGGTAGACTCAGGGGCACCCTCTTTCTCAGCTGGGTGCCCATCCCGAGACCATTTCCTGGCACCCGCATGCACACAGGCTCACACGTGGTCTGCAAGCCCTGTGCAGGCTCGGGTGCCGGGGTCGGCCAGGTGGGATGGAAGGATCTGAGAACGGGAAAGGGCGAGACCAGGGTGGAGGGATTCTCCTGGAGGAGGCGCTGGGCATGGAGACTGCAGGGGAGCAACTCTGTCTCCTCCCTCCTGCCTGAGGCCGAGCTCCAAGTTACCAAGCCCACAGGGAGGGCGGGTGGGGAGGGAGCGTCCCTGGCCTTTGCTCACAGGCCCGCCTGCAGGGTGGCCGTGGAGGTGGTGACCACGATGACCTCGGCGGACGTGATGTGGCAGGACGGCTCTGTGGAGTGCAACATCCGCTCCAACGACCTCTTCCCGGTGCACCACCTGGACAACAACGAGTTCTGCCCTGGAGACTTCGTGGTGGACAAGCGAGGTAGTGCCGGGTAGAGCTCAGGAGGAAAAGTCACAAGGTCTGGCATCAGGCCTCCCCTGGGAGGTGGCTCCCGCTTTTGTAGTCCAGGGCAGCCTTTCTGGCCTCCTCTGACCAAGCCAGGGAAGCAGTGGGTCCTGGGCCCCTATGCTGGACGTGCAGCTGGTGGGGGGGCGGTTGGTGGCCCCACCGGGGTGCCTTAGCTCACCCCTCCCCCACGCTGGGTCCACAGTCCAGAGCTGTCCGGACCCCGCTGTCTACGGCGTGGTGCAGTCTGGGGACCACGTGGGCCGCACGTGCATGGTGAAGTGGTTCAAGCTGCGGCCTAGCGGGGATGATGTGGAGGTGAGCGGGGGCGCCCCCGTGTCTCCTTCAGGGTGGGTTGTGGTGAGGTGGACGTAGAGCTCCCCGGGCTCACGACCGCCCATCCCGCCCCAGCTGATCGGAGAGGAGGAAGACGTGAGCGTTTACGACATCGCCGATCACCCTGACTTCCGGTTCCGCACGACCGACATCGTCATCCGAATCGGGAACACTGAGGACGGAGCCCCGCACAAGGAGGACGAGGTAGGGCGTCCTGCGCTCCCGCTGCAGTACCTGTCGGTGCCGCCAGGGGGCCTGCGTGTACGCCCCGCCCCGCCCCGCCCCGCCCCCTGTAGGGCCGCCTGCCTTCCGCACAGGGTCCTCAGAGCTGCTCCCCGGGCTCCACGGGTTATTTCTCAGGGGCGCACAGCCCCGTGCTCAGTGCCGTGAGGGTGGTGGCAGGTGCCGTAGGAGCACAGGAGAGGCCTGGGAAGGTGACTCTGAGCTGGGCCCCAGGGAACAGGTGGGGACATGGCAGTGAGGTCAGGCAGATTCTGGGCAGAGGAGGAAGGGGGACCAGAGTCCCAAGGCTGGAGCCTCATCCGGGGAGCGTCCAGAGAGACCAGGCTCAGTGGACAGCGAGTGCTGGGGGTGTTTCAGCCAGAGGGTCGTGCTCTCAGTACTCACGGTGGTCTCTGGCCGGCGCCCACATCGCTTCCATTCTCACGTCCGCGCCTCTGCCCTCACCCTTGGAGAGCTGCCCCTCTGACCCCGTCCTGTTTGCCCTGCAGCCATCGGTGGGCCAGGTAGCCCGCGTGGACGTCAGCAGCAAAGTGGAGGTGGTGTGGGCTGACAACTCAAAGACCATCATCCTGCCCCAGGTGAGACTCCTGGGAGCCCATGGCTCAGCTCCAGACTCTGGCAGCCAGGCCGAGGGTTCAGGTCTTCCTGGTGAAGGAATCTTCTCTTGGGAAGCAGGGTCTTGGGGAAAGGAAGGGCAGTGTTAGACCCAGAGCCCCAGGTGAGAGTCGTAAGAGCGGAGTGGCTGCCCACAGTGGGCCCGACCATCCTGCCCCACCCGGCGGGCTCCTGGTTGCCAGGCACGTCTAGGTTCTCATAGATCTAGCTGGATCCCTATCTCACTGCGCTGAGAATGCACAGGTTGCACCCTGTAAGAAACATCCTTCCCCCAACACTTCTAGGAAACTGTCACAGATCAGGGGGAAGGAATGAACAGGGCTTTGGCGGCTCCATTTCTGTGCCCCCTCGTTTGATCTGATGCTCACACCCCAGCTTCCCTCTCCGGTGCCAATACAGGATGGACGAGGGTGTGGCTCCCCCTTCGTCCAGGAGGCCATTCCAGGAACGGGAACAGAGTCACAGAGTCTGCCATGGTCCAGCGGGCCAAGTACACTCAGTGGCAAGGAGGCTGGAACTGGCATTTGCTGGGCCCTGGACCCATGGGCTGGGCTGGGTGGCAAGGGTGCCTCCCAGAGGCCTAGGGACCACCTAGCGCAGAGGCCCAACCACGAGGCCAGAGCAGGAAAGGGGGGAAGGGTGGCAGGGCCACTGAGGCCTCAGGGCATCCAGTCACTGTCAGCTCTGAGGCTCAGGGTCCCCCGCAGGGGGCCTCTGACCAGCCTGCGCCCCGTCTCCCCTCAGCACCTGTATAACATCGAGTCTGAGATCGAGGAGTCTGACTACGACTCGGTGGAAGGCAGCACCAGTGGGGCGTCCTCGGATGAGTGGGAAGACGACAGTGACAGCTGGGAGACGGACAATGGGCTGGTGGAGGATGAGCACCCCAAGATAGAGGAGCCCCCCATCCCCACCGCAGAGCAGCCGGCAGCCCCCGAGGAGGACAAGGGCGTGGTGATCAGCGAGGAGGCTGCCACAGCTGCCATCCAGGGGGCCGTGGCCATGGCTGCCCCCGTGGCTGGGCTGATGGAGAAGGCTGGCAAGGACGGGCCCCCGAAGAGCTTCCGGGAGCTGAAGGAGGCCATCAAGATCCTGGAGAGCCTCAAAAACATGACGGTGGAGCAGTTGCTGACAGGCTCACCCACCTCCCCCACGGCAGAGCCTGAGAAACCCACGCGGGAGAAGAAGTTCCTGGATGACATCAAGAAGCTGCAGGAGAACCTCAAGAAGACCCTGGACAATGTGGCCATCGCTGAGGAGGAGAAGATGGAGGCGGTGCCGGAGACGGAGCGCAAGGAGGAGAAGCCCGAGGGGCCGTCGCCGGTGAAGGCCGAGTGGCCCAGCGAGACCCCAGTGCTCTGCCAGCAGTGCGGCGGCAAGCCCGGCGTCACCTTCACCAGTGCCAAGGGCGAGGTCTTCTCGGTGCTGGAGTTCGCGCCCTGTGAGTTCGCCCGGCCTGCACTCCAGGCCCAGGGCCAGGGCGCCGTGTCCCTGGAGTGGGCACCAGTCCCCGTGCCAGAAGAGGGCGGGTGGAGGTGTGTGTGGCTTTGCCCACCCATCTGGGGATCACGTTCAGCCACCACTGCCCCTCCGGGTTGTGTTCCCAGGCCTCGCCAGAGGGACTGACCCTGCTCTTTCCCCCTCTAGCAAATCACTCTTTTAAGAAAATTGAGTTCCAGCCTCCAGAAGCCAAGAAGTTCTTCAGCACAGTGCGGAAGGAGATGGCGCTGCTGGCCACCTCGCTGCCCGATGGCATCATGGTCAAGACATTTGAGGACAGAATGGCAAGTAGGCGGGCGCGGGCAGGCACGGGTATCCGGGTGGGCGCCCAGGAGGCTGCAGCCTTGGGCCCTGGGCCTGCAGGCCCGGGGGGCACCCGCAAGGCCGCCTGCCTGCAGCCCCTCAGAGGGCAGGAGAGGCTCCAACAAGACTCCCACAGTTGTCTAGACCAGACAGCCATCTTTTTAAAGCTTGGTTTAGAATTATATAATACTTTACTTGACTTTTCTCTTTTTTTGAAAAATTAGAATGTTGTTACAGGAAAGGCTGCATTCTCCTTTGACCGGTCCCTGCCCCGCGTCCGGGCAGTGACTTCAGGAGTCTCATAGTTCTTGCCACAAACACAGGCTTTTTAGTAGGATTTGTCCCACAAGGCTAGCATGTCATCATCTGTAACTTGCTCATCACTCAACAGGATAAATTTTGAAACCTACCCATGTTGAATGACAACCATGTAGTTCATTGCTTTTTAGCTCCAGGACAGTATCACCTCACCTGGCTACGTCCCACTCCATTTGCTGGTCTTGTTTGTGACCTGTTTGAGTCACACTGGTGGAGGTGTGTGAGCGCTTCCTTGTTGGTCCCAGGAAGAGTGAGGCAGTCCGTCTGCCACCTTGTTTGTTCAGCTGGGCCGTGTCCTGTGCCAGGCACTGTGTGAGACCCTGAATTTGGGTCTGAAGCCTCACCTCCGGCCCAGCCCTGGAGAAAGGGACCACAGAAAAGGATGCAGTGGGAACGGGCCTGCCAGCACTCGCACTGGTCTGCTCGGCCCTGGCAGACTCTCAGCTGGCAGCTCACCCGGCAATGGCACCCCCGCCCCAGCCCTCAGCCTGGGTCTCTGATGTGTATGGAGAGTCCCTTTAATGACTGAAGGAGCATTTTCCCCCGAGTTCAAATCCTCTCATCCCTCTACTTCCCTCGAAGCCAGTGCAGCCTTGCCATCCTGGATGTTCTTTCCTCTTACTGGTTGTCACTGTTGCTGCTTTCACTGCGGGGAGGTGGAGGGGTAGGTCACAGTGGTGTTTTGAGGAATGCAAGTTACAAGTAGTAGTTTATTAAAAAAAAAAAACCTGGTAAGATAAAAACCAGTTTGGAAATTCCTTTCATGCCAGGAGTTAAGAGGTGCCAAGTAGGTCTGCACAGAGATGTCTGCGTTCAGCTTCTCTGTCGCTGTCCACGGGTGTCCGGATCCTGGGGCCGCTCCCTCTCCCACTGCAGCCCCATGGCACCCTGGAAGAGTCTGGAAGCAGGTGCCACGTACGGGTGCCTGCTGCCCACATCAGCCTCCCCGCTCTCTCCCCCTGACCCCCCTAGGACCTCTTCTCGGCCCTGATCAAGGGCCCCACTCGCACCCCGTACGAGGACGGCCTCTACCTGTTCGACATCCAGCTGCCCAACATCTACCCGGCCGTGCCCCCCCACTTCTGCTACCTCTCCCAGTGCAGTGGCCGCCTGAACCCCAACCTGTATGACAACGGGAAGGTGTGCGTCAGCCTCCTGGGCACCTGGATTGGAAAGGTGGGTCAGCACTGGCACGCAGCGAGGGTGGGGGCGGGCCGGGCCGGGCAGGTGTCTGGGACACCGCTGATCAGCTGCACCGTGTGTGTGCACGTGTGTTTCAGGGGACAGAGAGGTGGACGAGCAAATCCAGCCTTCTCCAGGTGCTCATCTCCATCCAAGGTACGGTGGGCAGGGCGGGGCTGGAGGGCATGGTCACTCTGGCCGTGGCCCCTTTTACCTCCCGTCTGTGGCTCTGACCTCCTCTTGGGGGTGGAGGTCGGCCGGCCTTGAGGGACTTCCCCTTCCCTCCTGCAGGTCTAATTCTGGTGAACGAACCATACTACAACGAGGCGGGCTTCGACAGCGACCGAGGCCTGCAGGAGGGCTATGAGAACAGCCGCTGCTACAACGAGATGGCCCTCATCCGCGTGGTGCAGTCCATGACCCAGCTGGTCCGGCGGCCGCCCGAGGTCTTCGAGCAGGAGATCCGGCAGCACTTCAGCACCGGCGGCTGGCGGCTGGTGAGCCGCATCGAGTCCTGGCTGGAAACCCACGCCCTGCTGGAGAGGGCCCAGGCGCTGCCCAACGGGCTCCCCAAGGACAGCAGCTCGCCGGAGCTGCCGGCCGTGGCCGAGCTCTCGGACTTTAGCCGAGAGGAACCTGAGGACGGGGGGCTGGCCCCCGGGGAGGCCTCCCAGGGCTCAGACTCGGAGGGCCCAGCCTCAGCCAGCAGGGACCACGTGGAACAGGCCTCGGAGGCCCCGCCCGACGCCTCGGTGCCACCCAGCGTCAAGCCAAAGAAGAGGAGAAAGAGTTACCGGAGCTTCCTGCCCGAGAAGAGCGGCTACCCTGACCTCGGCTTCCCTCTCTTCCCGCTCTCCAAGGGCTTCGTCAAGAGCATCCGGGGAGTCCTGACGCAGTTCCGGGCCGCGCTGACGGAGGCAGGCATGCCCGAGAGCGCGGGGGACAAGTAGCCAGCAGCCCCGGAGGAAGGCACGTTGCCACGGGGAGAGGCCGCCCCCCTTCCCTCTCCTCCTCTGTCCCCAGTGCAGGACCCCCCGCCCCCCGCCCTTTGCCCCCTCCTTCCCAAGGTGGGTTTGCTGCTGACACGCAGAAAGTTTCTTGAGATGCTGCCATTTGTATTCCGAAGCAATCTTCCAACAGGCAGGTGCCCTGTGGCAAAGGAAATCGGATCCGCGTGGCTGATTTTCCCCTCGTCCCAGGCAGCGTGCCCCCGCGCTTCCTCCCTTGCCGTCTTGCCCTCAGGGCAGGGGTGGGCTCTCTCTGGGGGCTGACACAGGAGAATGCGGGCCACGTGGACGTGCCTTGCATGAAGTGTGGGTTGCTGCGGCGGTCGCCCCGGTCCCCCCTGCCCTCTTGAGTCCCGCTGACGCTTCCTGGTGTCCCAGGCCCTCCCGTCGCCACCGCCCACCTGGTCTTCCCTCGCCCCCCAGCTCTGCCACCCTCCCCAGATCGGTGCCACCGCCGCTGACTCCCAGCTGGGCCCCGGCCTGTTGAACTTGCTGTCTGCGAGAGGTGGGCACCAGGCCGGGTGCAGAACGATGCCCGGGAGGTGGTGGCCCTCGCACACTGCCGCGGGGTGAGGACAGGGAGCTGCTGCTGGGAAGACAGCTGTAGGTGCCTTGCCCTTCCTGCCCCTCGGGGCGGGGGGACTGCAGCTCTGGCGTTAAGGCCCCCCTCCCGGTCCCCCAGAGGTGGGAGCCGCAGCACAGACGAGGGCCTCTCCCTCCGGTGTCCAGTGCTCATGCCGGAGGGGGCAGCATGCAGCTCACGGAACTCGGAGCAGGCCAGCCCTCTCCCCGCCCCGGCCGAGGACAGCCCGTAGGCTGGACGCAGGAGAGCGGTGGCGGGCAGGGTTCTCCCTGCAGAGCCGGGCCCAGAGGTTTACAGGTTTTCTAAGCGTTTGATAATGTGAAGCTCCAGGTGAACAGGATGCCGTTGAGCACATTGCAGCTATGTAATTTTTGGTGTATGTAATGTAATATTTAAGGTTGAAAGAAAATAAATCAAAAAATATTAACTCTTACTAGGAAAAAAAAAAAGAGACAAAATAAGAAGCCAAAGCATGACGTGTCTTGTCCGCCTTACGCTGGCTCCACACCTGGGCCGCCGCGAGCACGCGGCTGGCAGCAGCGCGGGGAAGGACGGGGCCCGGACCGGGGCTGCGGCGACCGGAGCCCGGAGTCGGGGTCTTATTTGAGGATCACCCGGAGTGACTGGCGGGGCTGTGCTTCCCAGTGCATTGTTCACGTGGAGATGTGAATGCCTACTGCTTAAGATATCTGTATAAAGTGCTGTGTGATTAAACTCTTTTTTTTTTTTTTACTTGCATTTTTTTTGGTTTGGCTCATTACAATGTACAAAGCAGACAAGGTGGTACCATTAAACCTGCCTCTGCCGTTCATCTGGGCTCTGTCGCCTTTCTTCCCCTCGGGGGCACCTCACACACCCTCCCCAGGGGAAGGAAAGATCCCTGTGGCTGGGGCCAGGGGAGGGGAGGCGTCTAAAGGCAGCCACCCCTTCCCCACCCAGCCCGCTCCCAAGCCTCTTCGTCTCCCATCAAGGACTCACAGGGGCCGGGAGCTGAGGGTCTAGAAGTCCAGTGAGTGGGTTCTCTTGCCTCTGAGCAGGGCCTGGGTCCTGGAGCCACCTTCCAGCAGGGCAGCAGCAGCAGCAGCTCTGGTCCCCAGGGGCCTCTGACCAGGCCCACCAGTTCAGCTCCTTCCAGATGCGGGGCGGGGGCGCTGGCTTGGGCTTGAAGCCACTCTGGATGGCTGGAATCTGCCCCTTCTCACTGCTGCTTCCTTATAAACCCCAGCCCACCACTCCCCCACAAGGACAGACTGAAGGAGGGCAGGGGAGGCAGGGGGAGCCCCAGAGCCCTCCCTGGAGAGATACAGACTCCTTGTAAAGCAGGAACAGCTGTCTGCTATTTTGACCTCTGTTGCCCCTTGCCAATTTTCCCCAGTGCCCCTAACTCGGGGACATTCTCCCTTTTGGCTGAGATTCTCTGGCTGTATGGCCCTAGGTAAGACATACTTGCTCTAAACCTCAGTTTTCTACCTGTGCAAAGAGGCAGTTGCCTCCAGGCCAGAAGGGGTATAATCATCACTGGGGCAGGGCAGGGTCCCACCCCATGCAAAAGCAGCCTAGACCAGCTCTGGTCCTGTGCTCACTACCAAAATGACTTCCCAGGGGCCGGTACCACACGCTGCCCTATCTAGGAAGGACCTCGGTTGGGCATCACCTTAAATTCCAGAGCCCCAACAGAAGCAAGACCCCACTCCCCTCACCCCCTAGGATAAGACCAGCAGGCTGGGAATGTCACTTTATTCGGATCTGATTCAAGGGTGGCTTCCCTGCTCCTAGTCCAACACTCCATCTGGCCTTTGGTGGGCAGAGCCTGTCCTTCCCACTCTTCTCCAGGCGTCTCCCTCCTCCTCCTCCCAGCTCACCACCTGTGCTGTGGATAGGCCCTCCAGTCCTGGCGGAGGGAGAAAGGGGTGGGGGGCCTGAGTGCAGAGTAAACCAAGTAGACAAAGGCACGGAGTCACCGGCGCTCTGCTGGGGGCGTCCTCTGCTGAGACTTCCTGCGGGGGGAGGGCTGCGGTTTCAGAGAGGGTGGGGACTCCGTGCAGCCACTGACCATCCAGAAGTAGTTGGGGAGAACCTGGCCCTGGACAGCCCCGCTGATCAGCAGTTCCCCATCCACAGCAAACACACCCTTCCCGTCCTTGGGCTCCAGGCGGAAGGCGACCACGGGCACGTACACCAGGTGGGGGCAGTGGTACTCCATGTGCCTGCCTTTCTCCATGGCCAGGAAGAGGCGCAGCAGCGTGGCCCGGGACACGCCGGCGCGCACGTAGAACAGGTGCATGGCGCCAGCCGAACAGCGGCCCATGGGGGCGGTGAAAAGCTCACTGGCCAGGTGGGAGTGCAGGAGCGCCAACACCAGCACAAAGTCCTGCTCGGGCACCACCGTCCAGTGAGGGGGCACTGGCTGCTCCAGGGGCACCACGTGGGTGTCCGCGGGGCCCTGCGGGGCCCGAGCCGGGGAGGGTGCCCCCCTGGAGGCCAGCGTTTCTGCGGGCAGGTAGGCCAGGCTGCCCCGGTAGGTGCGCAGGGCCACCAGGCGCAGGCAGGTGCCCAGAGTGAAGCGCATCTCGCCCAGCCGCCGAAACTTCTCGCTCTCCAGATCCACGTCGGCGATGAAACCCCACGCCAGGCTGAGCACGGAGAAGAGGCGCTGCCCGCAGGCGGTCTGCAGGGATAGCAGGTCCATGGGCGCCAGCAGCCGGCGGCACAGCAGCTGGGTGCAGTTGGTCAGGAGGTCTTCCTTCGTCACCTGCTCGTACCTGCAGGGGAGGGAGTCGGATGAGGAGGGCAGGAGCCCTCACATGCCCTCCCCTTCCTCCTCCTGGGGAGCTGGGGCAGGCCAAAGGGACCCTGAGCCCCTGAGGGAGTTGGCAGGGGGTGACAGCCAACTGGAGTCACAGAGAGAGAGGACCCCAGAACAGAGGCTCAGGGCTCCAGAGACCAGTGGTAGTCACTCCTGCTCGCGGACACTCATAAAAGAAAGCCTGGCAGTAGGCGTGGCCCCGAGGGAAAACAAGCCCACTCGGACCCTGGGCTCTCACCCGGCGTAATGGTTCAGAGAAGCGGCCATCGCATTGCCAGAGCCGGCTGGAAGGCTACACAGGGGCTTCTGGATGGCGGTCTCCCAGTCAGGCCGCTCCATGAGCCCGTTCACCACCTGTTGGAGCACAGGCGGCCTCAGCCTGGGAACCTTCCCCCACCCCACCCCGGGCCCCACGACCCAGGCCCAGCCTCCCCTGGGAAGGCTTCACCTCGTGGATCAGCCCGTCTCCGGACATGACCACCAGCGCGTCCCAGCGTCGCAGGTCCTCGGCGCGCACCAGCTCCCGGGCGTGGTTCCGCCGCTCTGTGCAGAGGGCGTGGCTATCAAGGTGGGAGGTTGGAGTCGCGGTTCCCCGGCTGGGGATGCTCCCCGCGCCCGCTCCGGGGGAGACACTCACCAGTGAGCATCAGCGTGAAGGAGACGTCGGCCTGGGCCAGCAGCGGCTGCACGTGGCTCCAGAAGAGCTGCAGGGCTTTGCCCTTGCCCCCGCGCGGATTTAACAGCACCAGCACGTGGCAGGGCCTTGGGAGCGGGTTCCGGGAGCCGCCCGCTGTAAACACAAACCGGAACCCGCCACTAGGGGCTGAGGATCACAATGCGGGCACCCGGGTGGAAACGCGGGGCCTGAAATCCACCGGTAGTTGATCCAACTGAGCCCGGCCAGCGGCAGCGGCAGCGGCCTCCAGCGGGGCGCTCCAGAGGGAGCTTCACGCTCCACACCCAGCCAGCTTGACTGGGCTCAAATTCCCACCAGTTTCTGGTCTCGTGGGGAAAAGGGCTTCTCTCCAGGGTCCCAGCCCCTCTTTTGTTCACTTGACTCCGGCCAACTTTCCTCACCAGGGAGACAAGGGATCCCCCTACAGGCCTTCCCCGCCAAGCCCCCACAAACCTGCATCCATGACCTCGGCCCGTGGCCCCCGCTGCCGAGGGGTCCCCGAAGCTGTCCGGACGCTGTCCGCCGCGGTGGCTCTTGACTTCAGCTCCTTATCGGTGCTGCCCAGGCGGGCGTCTTGGTGACGGCTGTGGGGCTCGCCCTCCCCGCCCGTTGCCGTGGCTCTGGGGGCACCCGTGTCATTCCCTGCGGTTGCCGGATCTGAGGGAGAGGAGACCGCACAGGTGGAGTCTGGAGCGGTACCCTTAGGTGGGGGGCGCCCCGTTAGGTCCTGGGACCACGCTCGGGAAGCCGCGCGCACCGGCATCGCCTAGTTTTCCGAGAGGTCCAGAAAGCCGAGGTCCAGTGCCACCAAGGGCGCTCGGGTCCTGGAACTGAGCCCCCACCAACCCCCCCCCTCCGGGGGGAAAGGGTCTTTCCCCGAGAGCCTATCTTTTCTAGGACCTCGGGTTCCGACCCGACGATGAGTCAGAGGCCCGTGGCTCTCTCCGTGGGATCAAGTCCTCACGCCCCTCCCCGGGGGCCGCCAGGGGGAGGGGAGTCCAGTTGCGTTAAAAAATCCCAGGTGGTGAGTGGCCATCGCAGCACGCGAAGTTCGGGGCGAGCGATCCTCGGCCCAAAACAGCCGGGTCGTCGGGTCCTGTACCCCGAGATCTGGAGCGGCCCGGATCGCCGCGCGCGTTTCCAAGGGCCAGGTTCTGCGGCGCCGCGCGCAGCGCTCGTGGAAGCGTCGCTGGAGTCGCGCGAAAGCTAAGCCGGAGCCGGGCCGCCAGCCACCGCCTCCCTCAGCCAGAGCCGAGTGGGCACGGAGGCCATGTGCTGCACGGCGGCTCCCCCGGCCGCCCAGGAAGCCAAGAAGGGCAAGAGGGCAGGGCAGGCGGCCAGCCCTACCCAGTCGGTCCAGTTTCCTGGGGAAGCGCTACCTCCGTTCCCCACAGTGGCCTAGGGCTGAACACAGCCGGTCCCGGGCTCAGTCTCGCATTTGTGGAGCAACCGGAGCGCCGAGTAAACGCTGACTGCGCGGCCTCGCTGCCTCCAGCCTCAAACTTTTCGCTCAACTTCGGGGAGGGCGCAGTGCCTAGCGTCCCGGCCTGGCCACGCCCCGCGGCCCCGGCGTTCGCGGGGGTGGAACCCGCGCCCCGCACGGCGCAAGCCAGCCGGGCCCTGGCCTCGGTGCTCCACCCCCGCCAGGTCAGCGCCCACGGCTCGGCCAAGCGCGTAGCCCTTTGGCTGGGTCCGGGGACTCTGGGACCCAGAAGGAAGGTGAGCGCCGCGGTCGGGCAGAGACGTGGAGGCCACTGGCGAGGCGCGGAGCCCCAGGCCCGGCACGAGCGGCGCGCCGCGGGCGCAGCGTCCCGGGCGCGCGAGGGTGAACGCGCATCACAGGCCGCGGCGCACAAAATCGGAGCGGCCCCCGGGTGGGGCTCCGGGCGCGCGTGGCTCAGGGCTCTCGTTAGATTCTCACCTGTCCCTGGATAGAGTCTCCTGGCGGAACCCGCCCCGCTGCCCGCGCCCCCCAATCCCACCCGGATTTCGAGGTCCAAGATCCGCCAGGTACCCCTCACTCCTTGCTGGGGCGTCTCTGCAGCTGCTCCCATCCTCCCCGAGTTATTTTAGCCTCCTGGACCGCACGGCCTTGGAGCCTCAGACGGAAGAGCCATCCCGGGAGGGGTGCCAGCAGCGCGGGGGGTGGGGGGGGGGGACGCGGTCCGAAGTAGGGGGCCTTGTTAAGAACCTCAAAAGTTAAGAACCTCAAAAGTTGGGTGCTCTCCCCAGAGGACAACATCAAGGCTCGCCTGAACCTGCGGGAACTCCAGGCCCCGCGCCCCTCACCCACCTGAAAGGAACTTGGCGGTGTAAACAGGCCTAGGCGACCCCATTCGGACTGGGGAGCAAAGCACGGGGCGTGTCCTCCGTCCCCGCCACTGGCTCAGCGGGGAGCTGCAAACTGGCCCGGGGCCTCGTGTGTCAATGGGGTGTGATAAACCGGCCAGTAAGCGTCCGACCTCAAAGTGTCCACGACCCACTCGAGTAAGCTCCCTGTGGGGTAGTGTGTGGCGACCCAGAGGAGGAAGTTGCCAAGGTCAAGTCACCAAGTTTCTAAATCTAACCAAAGTCAGAAAAGATCAAAGCGCTGTAGGAGGCTGAGCTGGTGCAGGCCCCAGCTGCAGGGTGCTCACGCGCCCACACCTGCCCCCACCCGACACCCATTCACACGTCTCGTTTCCCGTCGCCCCTAAAAGTCGAGAAGAGGCAGGTCCCGGCACGGCTCCGAGGAGCCCCTTTGCGAGAGGACCCAGGCGGCCCTGTTTCCCAACACCTGGCGGGGCCGGGCCCAGGTGTCCCCGGGTAGGGGAGAGGCTCGGGCTGGGACGCGTGGGTCCCGGGGCCGTTGGCCTGGCACGCGGCCGGCTGGTGGCCACCTCCGCCCCGCGCAGCTCTGGGGGCAGCCCTGGTTGGGTCGTGAGCGTCTCGAGCGCGTTCCGGGAAGGTGACTCAGCTATGCTTTCACGGGTCGAGAAACTCTGCGAAACTAGGAACCCGAGCGGGGAGCGGGAGCGGGGCGTCATCACCCTCTAGCAGCGCCGCGACCGGAGTCCACCGAGGTCTGATCTTGAACCTCCAGGCTCCCCACCCCCGCCCAGGAATCCCGCGCCGGGGGCCGAGCGCCGCGCTGCAGCCGCAGTGCCGCGGTCACGCGACGCGGGGACGCCAGCGCCGGCGGGAGGAGGGGGCTCCTTGCGGGAGCCCGGGCTCGATCATTCGCCTCTCCTCTCCCCCTCCTCCCTCGCCTGCCTGCTCCTCCAGCCAGGACTACGGTCAAAGTCAGGGCTTTGGGCTCCTGGAAGACGCGGGACGCGGCGTGAGGCTCCCGGGGATCTTGGATCTTAGAAGGAGGACGGCCTCCCTCTTCTCCCCCGCCCCCCCGAGCGCTTCCATCAGTCCTGAGAAGCCGCTGCTTAAACCTCGGAGTCTGGTGGGACTCAGGCCCGGGAAGCGAGGACGTGGCCGTGCACGAGCCTAGTGAGAAAGCCCACCTGCCGCAGGGTTCCTCCGCCTCCCTGGCTGGAGGCCCCCCGGGTCGTGCGGCCGGGCGGGGGCGGGGTTGACTGGAAACTGAGCGGCGAGGGAGGCGGGGCCGCCTGCTGGGTTGTTATCCGGCCTCCGGGAGCCCAGTGGGAGGGAGGTGAAGGGCAGAGCCCTCTGGCCCCAGTTCCAGTCCGCACAAAGGCTCCTCTGTCCTCCCGGCCGCCTCTCCCGCAGCCCCCGTCCCCACCCCCAAGGTCCCTGCTCTGCCCGCTTCATTCTCATCTGTCACCTCCTCCCTCCAGGCTCCCTCCCTCCGGGCCCACCCCGCCCCGCCCGCAGCCCTTCTCTAAAGAGCTTTATTTCATCTCCAGAGACCCTCATCAGTACCCATGGCCCAGGAGACCGGATTGGGCAAGAGGAAGATGCTTTTCCCCTTTTGATAACTGGGGGAAGTGAAACCCTGGGAGGTGAAGGGTCTTGCCTAACTGAGCCACTGAACCAGCTCCCTACAGGGCTGAGAAGCAGACCCAGATCCCAGCCCCCAGTCCAGGAGGCCCAGCTGACCCCAGGCTTCTAGCTGGCATTTGAGTATCCATCTGCTTCATGTGTTGCTCGCCACAGAGCTGCCTCACCCACCCCGCTGCTCAATCGCTCTGAGAAAGAGGAAGCATCTGGAAGCTCTATCCAGGCTTCATCCTCCAGTTCTGATTAAGCAACTAGCTGCTGTGGCCAAAGGCCTGGCATGAGGCTTGATCTGTCCCAGTCACCAACCGTCAGGTAACACCTGTCTCACAGGTGAAAGAGACTGCTGTTCCAACTCCCCCAGTCACCCTGCCTCCTCCTTGTGGGCAGCCTCCCCAGCACACACCTGAGAATCCCTCCTTTTTTGTTCTTTTTCCAAAAAAAAAGCAAGCAGACATGCACTGGGCCCGGCCCAGCTCTCTGGAAACTTGGAGCCAAGGCTGCCAGATGGCAAATGACTTGCTTTTATTAGAAGAGGTTTCCTGCCATCTCCTTGGCTACCCACTCCAGTATTTATTCTTGCCTAGTGAATTCCATGGGCAGAGGAGCCTGGCGGGCAACAGCCCATGGGGTCGCAGAGAGTTGGACACGACTCAGCGACTAACATTCATGTGTTCATTCCTGCCATTTCACCTATTCCTGAGGTTCCAGCTCCCAGGCTGAACTGCAGGATCCGGAGGCCTGCCTTGACCTCAAGGGCTTTCTGCCTGGAAGGCTGCGAAAGGGAAAAGGAGATGTCCGGCCTGGCAAACTGTTTTTAAGACTGGTCTCCTGGGATGGCCCCAGATGTGGTTTTCCATTCTGAAATCCCGGTGACCCTGCCATGCATTGAGGGTGGCAGGCTGTGGGTGGAGGGATGTGCCCTGCATGGGCATGCAGGAGACCAGACTGGTCGCACGAGTTTCCTGACTTGCAGGCGGTGTTCCAAGTTTCTGTCTCTCCAGGTGTGGTGGGGTGAGCCTCGCTTTACCTCGGAGGTGGCCTCCTCCTCCACACGGGTGTCCTTGCCGAGGCTGCCAGCCAACGTCTCTTCTGGGCCTCTGGACTCTGCCTCCCACACACCCGGGACCTGCAGGCCTGCTCAGCGGGACACATCCTTTTCAGGGAAGTTCACTAGCACAGCCTCCCCAGAGAGGCCTCACCCCCGCCACTCATTTCAGCTGCCAGTCTGGGATCTGAAGGCATCTGTGTTAGTTTCCTCAAGTTGTCATAACAAGATACCCCAGACTGGGTGACTTAGAAATTTACTGTGTCACAGTTCTTAAGACATCCGAGATTAAGACGTCAGCAGGGTCGGTTCTTTTCGAGGCCTGTGTGGGGTGTCTTGTTCCAGGCTTCTCCCCTAGCTGCTAGTGGTTGACTGGCCAACTTTGGTGCTCCTTGACCTGTGTGTGCAGGCTTCCCAGGCGGTTCATCAGTAAAGAACCCACCTGTCAATGCAGGAGATGTGGCTTCAATCCCTGGGTCTGGAAGATCGCCGGCAGGAGGGCATGGCAACCCACTCCAGTATTCTTGCCTGGGAAACCCCACGGACAGAGGAGGCCAGCGGGCTACAGACCATGGGGTCACAAGTTGGACACGACTGAGCACGCACGCATAACCTGTGCACGCATCACGCAAGCCCTGCCTTGGTCACCGCATGGCCCTCTTCCCTGGTGAAGGATTTGGCTGAAATTTGTTGTTTCAGGGTCTGCATTATCTTCTGCCGGCCTGTTCTTTTTCGAATGCAAATTACTCTGGGAGGAAAACCCAGTTAGTTAGGAGAACTCTAGTGTGAATGGATGTATCACTTTTTAAACTAAAAAAAAAAAATTTAACAGTACTAGGTGTCTCCAGAGAGGACAACAGTGCACGCTCCTGTGGGTATCAGAGGAAAGGGATCTGGGAACTGGACCTGCCCGCCTCCCACTGTTGGGGGAACTTGTTTACATCTGTGCTGCCAGCTGACCTTGCCCAGGCTTGCACACCTCCCCAGCTCCGCCGACTTTTCGATCTTACCCTGCACCTCAGCTTATAGCATCTCTGGTTTTCTGAGTAGCAGGTTTCTTCCGCAGTCCTTGGAAGAACAAAGCTGGTTTTTGTGTTAGTGTCCTGGGTTCTCATTGCTGTACCGATTTCTCATCTTGCATTTCTGGAGGTCACAAGTTTAGAATGGATTGGCAGGGCTGAGCTGCCTTCCTGTTCTAGCTTCTAAAAGCACCTGCATTCCTTGGCTGCGGATCCCTTCTTTCACCTCCGTGCTGGCAGTCTAGCATCTCCAAGTCTCCATCTGACTTTTGCTTCTGTTGTCACATCTTCTCTGACTCTGACCTTCCTGTGCTGTGCTAACTCATTTCAATCGTGTCTGACTCTTTGGGACCCTAAGGACTGTAGCCTTCCAGGCTCCTCTGTCCATGGGATTCTCCAGGCAAGAATACTGGAGTGGGTTGCCATTTCCTCCTCCAGGGGAATCTTCCCCACTCAGGGGATTGAACCTGAGTCTCTTACATCTCCTGCATTGGTACAAGGGATCTTTACCACTAGCGCCACCCGGGAAGCTCCCAGATCTTCCTGAAAGTGAAAGTCACTCAGTCGTCTCCGACTCTTTGCGCCCCCACGGACTAAGCAGTCCATGGAATTCTCCAGGCCAGAATACTAGAGTGGGGAGCCTATACCTTCTCCAGGGGATCTTCCCAACCCAGGGATCGAACCCAGGTCTCCCGAATTGCGGGCGGCTTCTTTCCCAGCTGAGCCACCAGGGAAGTCCAAGAATACTGGAGTGGGGAGCCTGTCCCTGCTCCAGGGGATCTTCTCCACCCAGGGATTGAACTGGAATCTCCTGCATTGCAGGCGGATTCTTTACCAGCTGAGCTACCAGGGAAACCCCCAGATCTTCCTACCTCCCTCTTGTAAGTTCTCCTGTCTGTGATGACATTGGCCCTACCTGGCTAACCAAGGCTGAGCTCCCCTTTAAAAAGCCTTAATTTAATTTAACTTCGCCACAACTGCAAAATCGCTTTTGCCATATAAGGTAACGTAGTCATGGGTCACATGGAACCATGACGCAGACATCTTTGGGGGCTGTTATTCTGCCAGCCACAGTGGGGCAGGGAATGTCTGGGAATCATGTCCTTATTGGCGCCAGAACCTTCTTTCCAGCATTCCGCATCTCCGCAGTGCTACCAGCGGAACACAAACCAGGAACTTGGTTTCCCCCAATTCGCATTAGTCATGGTGGGACCAAAAACACTCCTGCTGAGGTCGTTGACACGTGATTCTGTAGACTTTGTGGTCTTTGACTCATCAGACAGAGGCCCCTGCAAAGAACACCGGTTTCCATTTTTATTTTTATTGGATGATTTAAATTACTCTTGATGAGCTAGAGATACAGTTTTATCACATTTTTTCATCAAATCAAGAGAAAACAAAATTGCAAACCAGTTTTATTTTCTCACCATGACTAGATTAAACTAAAAATGGGAATGATAGAGTAGATTTTCTTTTTTTTTTTTAAGCCAAAGAATGTATCTCCAGGGGTCAAATATCAACATGAATTTAGTTGTTCTCCTCACCAAAGTTGGGAGTTGAGAAGTCACTAGTGGCTAGATACAAGCTATCAGACAGCTTATGACAAAGAACTACAAATCCTGAGCATTTTCCTGCCTAAACGTGTCCTGCTATTGTCTCAATGATCAAAATTCTACACATGATTAAACTTTAATTTTATTTTATTTTATTTTTTTTTTAAGTACCAAGGAGCTTTATTCTTAGGTCTGATATTCAATCTGTGGCTGCAGATAATTCGTCACTATGTAGAGAATAAAAGGTCCCATTATCTTCATTCAAGTCTTCAGCCACAAAGTACACCTTATTCTCACACAAGATAAGGGTTGGTAGGGGATTAAGGAGGTACAGAGGAGAAAAGCAAAGGGAACCAACACTTTTACAAGCATATCGTCCCAGTTACCGTGAAGGTTACGTTTCAGGTTAATTTACAAAAGTAGTGACAGAACCATGGTTTCACTGAAAATCAACACGTTATACCTTTTAAAAAACCAATTCAGAAATACTAAGTCAGGCAAGCATGCAAAATTCAGAGTATAAAAAAATGCAAGGGCTGGCGGCCCAAACAGGTATTTCCCTCAGAAAGAGGGATTTGAAAATGCTGCACAGAACCAAAGGAATTAGAAGCTGAATTAGCAGACCCATTTCCTCAGTTTATATATGAGGCAAGTGGGCAGACATTAACTGGTAAAGCTTACTCAGCCAGATTAAGAATATATAGACATCTAATTCCTGGTGCTATCTGCAACTACATGTATCTAAAATACAAGGAGATAAATATTCAGAACACATCAAACCCACTGATTTAAAGAAAACATTCAAGGGTGGGGGTGAAGTTGTTATTATAGCATAGCAGCACATTACACATATTTAAGAGATTAAATGGAAAGAAATAATCTCTTATTTTAATGCTCAGTTTTGATCAACACAAGTTTCCAGCCAACTTTCTGATGTAGAGCAAAACAAGTATATTCTTCAGTTTTCTTCTACACTTTTTTGGGCCCATCTTTCAAAACTGAGCACCGGGTATTTTTAATGTAAGTAATGGGATGTTATATGTACATTCTAATTACACATTTTAGGAATAAACAAAATGCATATTTCAGTAATTCATAGTGTATTTATAAAATGAAAAGCTCTCTATCAAAATACACTTTTCACTGGGAAAAATAAATAAAACAGACAAATGGATCTACACAAAGTAAAAATTAACTTTGGTAGACTTCACTGTGGAGGACAGTCCATAACAAGCTCATCTGCCCTTACTCCCCCAGAGCTGATCATCTTCCGAGTTAAGATTTTAAAAATATGTTTTAATTGATATCATTATGTTGATAATTGTTTCTCATTCCACATCATCTTCAGCCAAGCTCTGAGCACTTACAATTCTCTGACTGATCGTTGGGAGCTTGGTCAGAAGCATCTGGAACACCGGCGGCGGGAGCGTCTGCTGCAGCACCTGCAGTAACTGCTGCGGCTGCCCACACACAGCAATGGCGTTCGTCAGGTGGTCCACACCCTTCTCGTATTCACCTTGAGCTAGTAATTCTTCACCAAGCTGTATTTCTTCTAGAAAGAATTTCTGAACGGCTTCAGCATCTTTAAGGTCAGGTAACTTGGAAAGCCCAGCTCTCTCCTTGGCAAGCTTTTGTTTCTTTCTTCGTTCTCGCAGCCTGTTCTTGAAGTTGGGGTCACTCCGTCTCTTGCGGTCGAAATAAATGCAGTAACCGATGAAAAGGGCCCCGCAGACGCCGGCGGCGATGGCGCTGTTCCGGCCCACCATCGTCTCTCCACCGAAGAGCCGGGTCGGCTGCGGCGGGGCCCGCAAATAAGCCGTTGACCGCGAAGCCTCGGATCCGGTTTCCATTTTTAAAAACTGCACAGGAGGAAAAAAAGAAATTGCCCAAGAAGAAGCAATTGGCATATTTACTAAACATAGGAATTATAGGCTTGCAAATGACTTTTCACCTGAGGAAAGGGTGGGGCGCAGACCTGCCCATCCATTTCCAGCTTGGCAGACTTCCCCACTTTGCCGGAAGGGCTTGCCACCGGCCCAGCCTACTGGGTACCACACAAAAGACGTGGTCCTCTCAGCTCCTGTCATGAGGCCCGACAGTTCAGCTACTTTTACACTCTGTGGTGAGGCTGGACCAGGCCAGCCATATGGAGAACGGTGGCTGGGAATATTCCATAGGTTCTTGCTGACATCAGCTCCGGTTTGGGCTCTATAGCGGGCTCTGGCCTGTCTCCAGCACCCAGTCCCACATCCTGGACACTGGTGAGGGGAGAGAAGGTCCCCGTCTGAGGCTGCAGCCAGCCCCCACCCTACCCAACTGTATTTTTCTTTTTAAAGAAATGATTTTATTTATTTTTGAATGAGCTGGGTGTTTATCCCAGTGCATGGACTTCTTTTTCTAGTTGCCACTCCTAGTTGTGTGCAGGCTTCTCATTGCGGTGGCTTCTCTCGTTGTGGAGCACGGGCTCTGGAGCACACTGGCTTCAGTAATTTGGGCGAGTGGGTTCAGTCGCTGCAGCTCCCGGGCTCCAGAGGACAGGTGCCGTAGTTGTGGCGCATGCGCTTAGGGGCCCAGCGGCATCTGGCCCTTTCCAGATCAGGGATTGAACCCATGACTCCTGCATTGGCAGGCGGACTCTTTACCACTGAGCCACCAGGGAATCCCTCAACTGTGCTTTGAAATCACTTACTCATTTGTACTGGTTTATACTCGTTTATACTGGTTTAACTGGTTCGGCTTCCCTAGTGGCTCATATAGTAAATCACCTACCTACATTGCGGGAGATCCAGGTTCAATCCCTGGGTCGGGAAGATCCCCTGGAGGAGGAAATGGCAACCCACTCCAGTACTCAGGCCTGGAAAATTCCATGGACTGAGGAGCCTGGTTGGCTGCAGTCCATGGAGTCGCAAAGAGTCGGACACGACTGAAGCGACTTCACTTCACATACTGGTTCGGAGAGATGCTTTGCGGACTGGTCGTCTCCTTCAAGGGAAGAGCAGCCAGCCACCATGTCAAACTGCTTTGGGTGATTCCCAAAAGGAGAACTTCTGGAAAGCAGGAAGAGAGCCCTGGCCATCTGCAGCCAGGCAGCAGGAACGCTGAGCCGCTTATATTTGGTAGCAGCCCAGGTCCAGGCCAAGGGGATGGGTGTGTACACAGTTTTCCGGGCGTTTTTTGTTGTGCAGTGTTTTCCACTTTAACATCGCTCCAAAGCTAAGCCGCGTCCTTGGGTTGTTCCCAAAGCAAACAGGCTGGACGCAGCGCTTTGGCGCTAATGGTCTGGGGTGGTTTCCTCCTACCTGGGAATGGACCACTTCCACAGGGCAGAGGTGACAGCCTCTCTCACCCCCTCCGGAGGTGCAGGAACGCCCTTTCACAGCACCCTGCTGGCCCCTGGTGGGCACCTGGAGTTGCATCCCTCTCCCCTCCCAGGCCTCCTTCACAGAAGCCAATTCACGTAGGCCAAAGAGGGGCCAGCGCCCTACTTTGCCAAGCTGCACAAAAAGACGGGCGCCTGGAGTGGGTCTTGCCTGCCCCTGACGCTCATTATCCACATCCCGAAAATAGAAATTCCCCTTCCCTGGAGGCTGGCCTCCTGAAGGTCAAACTCTTCGATTCTTTCCAGACAGAACCCTGGTCATTTAAGTAATGATTACACAGGATGGGCTGGACAGCTGGGACTGAGGAGAGGGGCCCCAGGGCAAGGGACACGGTAACCTCATTCCACACGTGTGCCCCCGAAGCTTTGTGCTGCCAAGGGAGTGATGCTGTGCTGATCCGACAGGAGAGCCACTTCCAAAGGCGGCTCGTTGTCCTTTCTGCTTCTTGCCCTAAAGTGCTGACCACGGCAACGTGACCGGCATCTTGAAAATGAGTTGAGATGTCATTTCTCCTTCAAGGCACCATCAGCAGCCTCCTCTAAAACTCTGTCTCAAAACAGAAGAGGGAGCCAAGCGATTACCTGTCAAAGCTTACAGACTAAGGAGTGAAGTTATTTTTAAAGAAAACAAAAGATGGAATGGACTCGGGAGGAGCATATAATGGGAAGCATATACGAATAAAGTATCCTTTCTTTTCTGTTTCCATCTCCTTCCTAGAGCTGCCGTGAGCATGGTTCTATACACAGAAGTCCTCAAGAGAAACGCTTGTGGGCTGACCCCCCCAACCGCAGCAGAGGATCCAGGGGAGGGAGCCCCATCTGGGCGCCAGGTGGCTGCTGCAGCGATGCAGAGAGCCCAGGAAGGGCACAGTCAAACACCCCACCTCCTCCTGGCTGCCCGCAGCAGGCTGATGGGTCCCAGGAGGGAGGGACAGACAGACAGCTCTGATGCAGAGTTTAAAGGACATATCCATCTTCCAGACTCAGCATGACCTAGAAAAACCCACAGCATCCCCTTGACATTTGCCAACAAGCACAAAGATCATATCATTTTAGGCTGAATTCCAGTTGCCACGTGGCAAGTATCTGTGACCACTTGGTTCTCAAATTGAGGACTTGGAGCACTTAAGGAGGGAAGACAATCTAACTGTAAAATAGGATTAGCATGGAATCAGACCTGCCACCTGCATCTCTTGGCAGGAGTAAGTGTTATTCCTAAGGGGAGAGGCGTGTTGAGTCCTCCGGGGTGGATCTGTTACCCCGATTTGCAGCCATTAGTGGTGGACTGGGGGAAGGCTGGCTGGCCGCCAGGAGACAGGCAAACCCTAGGACACTAAGGTCTCAGGCATTTCTGAAATGCTAAGGACCCTGAGTGGAAGAGCAGGCTTCAGACTTCATTGTGCTCAGTAGTGTCTGACTCTTTTTGACCCCATGGACAGTAGCCTGCCAGGCTCCTCCGTCCATGGAATTTTCTAGGCAAGAAAACTGGAGTGGGTTGCCATTTCCTCCTCTGGGGACCTTCCTGACCCAGGAATGGAGCCTGCGTCTCCTGTGTCTCCTGCATTGGCAGAGGGATTCTCTACCATTGAGGCACCTGAAGGAACAACAGCATCATTTTAATTCTAAGCTGAGACTTGGATGTTACGTGTACTTAACAAAGACAGGCTGCTCACCATGAAAAACTGGTCCTAACAGATGTGGAACAGGGGCTTCCCTGTAGCTCAGATGGTAAAGAATCTGCCTGCAATTCAGGTGACCTGAGTTCAATCCCCGGGTTGAGAAGGAACCCTGGAGAAGGGAATGGCTACCCACTCCGGTATTCTGGTCTGGAGAATTCCATGGACAGAGGAGCCTGGCAGGCTACAGTCCATGGGGTCACAAAGAGTCAGATACAACTGAGCAACTAAGGCTACTACTACTAATAGATGTGGAAAACGAATCTGGAGTACCCACCAGCCCTTGAGGAAAATATATGTTAAAAATTTCTTTATTGAAGTATAGTTGATTTACAATACTGTGTTAGTTTCAGGTGTATAACAAAGTGATTCAATTACACATATACATATTTTCTTTTTCAGATTCTTTTCCATTATAGGTTATTATAATACATTGATATAGTTCCCTGTGCTGCACAGTAGGTCCTTGTTATTCTTCTCTTTTTGTATATATAGTGGTAGTGGTGTGTATCTGTTAATCCCAAGCTCCTGATTTAACCTCCCACCCTTCCCCAGCCACTACTGGTGGCTCAGTGATAAAGAACCCACCTGCCAATATAGGAGATGTGGGTTCAATCCCTGGGTTGGGAAGATCCCATGGAGAAGGAAACAGCAACCCACTCCAATATTCTTGGCCTAGGAAATCCCATGGACAGAGAAGCCTATAGTTCATGGGCTCCCAAGTGTCAGACATAACTTAGCGGCTGAACGACAACAACCCTGCCCCAAGAAAAATATCTTTTTTCCCCTCTTTGGCTATGCCAGGTGGGTTATGGGATCCCAGACCCTCAGCAGTGAAAGCCTAGAGTCCTAATCACTGGACCACAAGGTAAGTCCCAAAAAATATCTTTTAAAAAGGAGAGACCTGGGACTTCCCTGGCAGCTCAGTGGTTAAGATTCTGAACTCCCAATGCAGGGGACAGGGTTTCAGGGAACTAAGATCCCACATGCCACATAGTGTGGCCAAAAAAAAAAAAAAATAGAGAAATTCAAGGTTCCTCAAAAAATTAAACATAGAGTTACCATGTGACCCAATAATTTCACTCCTAGGTACCCAAAAGAACTGAGAACGTGTGTCCACATAAAACCTTGTACACTAATGCTCATGGTAGCTCTGTTCACAATAACCAAAAGGCAGAAGCAACCCAAGTGTCCGTCAGCAGATGAACAGGTAAAAGAAATGTGGTTTATCCATATTAAGGAATAGTATTTGTCCATGAAAAGGGATGAAGTCCCGATCTGTGCTACCCTGTGAGTGAACTTCACGAACATCATGTGAAAGAAGTCACAGAAGGCAGACAAAAAGGCCACATATTGTGTGATTCCATTTAAATGAAACCTCCAGAATAGATAAATTCACCAAGACAAAAAGCAGGTTGGTGGTTGCCAGGAGCGTGAGGAAACAGTTCTTAATGGACATGGGTTTTATTTGGGATGATTTTATTTCGGGTGATAGTTTTATTGTGGGTTTTATTTTGAAACCAGATAGAGTTCATTGTTGCACAATATGAATATGTTAATTGACTTATTTCCTGTTATGTGCATTTCTTCCCTTTTTTTTAAAAATGAGGCACTTGAACCAGAAATGTCCCTTTCAGCATCATTCTTTTGTGATGCACAAAAAGTCCATTTCTAATGATGCAGTTTAAATTCTGATTTGACTGCTGTTAAAGAAAAACATTTATTCCAGGCACTTGTTAAAGAAGGGTAAGGTGAGCTATATTCAGGACCTCTGTGATAGGGGCAGGCACCACTACCTTGGGTTCTTGCTGATAGGCGGGAGGGAATAGAGACTGAGTTCAACTGTGAATACAAAGAGAAGTGGGAATATAAGCCAAGGAGTAGTGTAGGGGTCAGTGGGTGGAAGATTACTAAAAGGAAACATCAGGGATCAGGGGAGATTCTCACTAAACCGACCTGGCAGAACTTCCAGTGGCTAGGATGCCACATTCCCATTGCAGGGGGACCGGGTTCAATCCCCGTTTAAGGAACTGGATCCCACATACCACAACCGAGAGTTTGCATGCCACAACTAAGACCCAGTGCAGCCAAAAAAATAAATAAATTAAAAAAAAAAAAAAACCTTGCTGAAGGCAGGCCAGAAGGCTCAGACATCACCCGAGGACGCTGGACAATGGGGAACCCAAACATTTTGAAGATGACCAGACCTGGAGGATGGGGGTTCTGGCTAAACTGAGTTATCAGGATTCTTGTTATAACCGGACTTTGCATGGAAAGACAAAAGGGCCCCAGGTTTGAGACCTGGTCAAAGACAGGCGTTAAGATGAGCCTCAGAGAGGCTTAGATTAGATCAAAGAGAGAATCTTGCTCCTTGGCACTGAATTATTCGGAGTCTAGTATGCCAGCCTCACGGAACCTCCCATGGGCTCCTTCCCTGTCCTTACAGGGGTGAGAGGTGGCCACCAGCGCTTTAGTGGCTTTATTTGGAGGGACTGACCTTGTCTCAAAAGCTGTGTCACCTTGTGGAGGCCCTAAGGGCCAATCCTTGGTTTTCACTGGTTCTTTTTTTTTTTTTTATTTCTCTGTATTTCCCCACATAGTTATGCAGTATGTGTGGGGTTTTTATTTATTTTAGTTTTTAGGGTTTTTTGGACCCCTGCCATGCAGCATGCGAAATTCTTAGTTGCCTTACTAGGGATCAGACTTGTGCCCCCTGCAGTGGAAGCATGGAGTCTTAACTACTGTACCAACAGGGAAACCCCTTGGGTTTTTTTCCTAAAGAATGTACA